AAGAAGATTGGCCCTGAGCTAACATCCGTGCCCATCTTCCTCTACTTTATATGGGACGCCGCCACAGCATGGCTCGACAAGCGGTGTGCCGGTGCACGCCCGGGGTCTGAACCGGCGAACCCGGGTCTGAACCAGCGAAACCCGGGCCGCCGCAGCGGAGCGCGTGCACTTAACCACTTGCGCCACCGGGCCGGCCCCTCAGCTACTTCTTTTTCCCTCTACTCTTGCTGTGCCAGCTTCACAGACATTCCTCAAAAAAGTCAAGTAAATTTCTATCACGGGGCCTTTGCACTTGCTGTTACCCCCCTGGAATCTCTCCCCAATTTACACAAAGCTCAACCATCACTTAAAACAGGTCTCTGCCGAAGGATCACCTTTTTAAAAAGGAGCCAGGCTTCAGGCCCACCTTGATGGGAATTGTCTCCTCCTCATTCCAGGATTTTGGTGGGCAGAAGGCAATAAACTTCCTTTCTTCTCTCTGCTTTCCCCTCCTCATGGTGATGAACAAAAGGGGGCAGGCTAAGGGAGTTGCATTTGGGAATAGGGAAATGTCTTCACCTTGAAGCTTCCCTTGACTCTGGTGTGCACAAAGGACCCAGAGCAAAAAGCAGGGATGAGAAGGCAGGGGCCACTTCATTAGCCACCAGGTCTTCAAGGAGAAGAGAGAAAAAAGTCCTGACTTGTGGAGCACCTTCTGAGAGCTCAACCTTCCCACCTCTATGCAGGAGGTACTAGTCTTATCCCCATTCCACAGACAAGAACACTGAGGATCCTGGACATTGAGAAACTGGCCTCACATCACATCTGGAGGGGCTGAGCAGGAGTTGAATGCAAGTGAGCCTGAATAACAGCAAATTCACCAGTTGCCACCCAATGCTCCTCCTTTAGGGAGAGAGGAGGCAGACTGGGCTGGAGTGGGACAGTATTGAAGTGATTGGCCAACTATGAAAAAGGAATTTTTGTCCTAAATGAATGACTATTCTATTTAGAAGATCACAGGGAGACAATGGGAGACAGAGTGAAGACCCATGTTTCCGTCCCCAGGAGATATTTGCACACGAATAGCCAATGGTTCCAGCACCATTTGTTGAAAAGACTATGCTTTCTGTGCTGAGTTGCCTTGGCGCCTTTGTCAAAATTCAGTCAACCACGTACTTGTGGGTCTATTTCTGGACTCTATTCTGTTCCATGGCTCTATTGTCTATCTTAATTCCAGTACCACACTGTTTTGGTTACTGTAGCTTTGTAACAAGGTTTGACATCAAGATGTTGAGTCCTCCAACTTTGTTCTTCTTTTTCAAAGTTATTTTGGTTATTCTAGGGCCTTTACATTTCCATATGAATTTCAGAATCAGATTGTCAATTTCTGCAAAAAAGCTTGTTGGGGTTTTGATTGTGTTGAATTTGTAGATCAACTATACCAATGTGGAGAGAATGGACGTCTTAACATCGTGTCTTCAGATCCATAGACATAATTTATGTAGCCTCTCCATTTACGTAGATCTTATTTAACTTCTCTCAGCAATGTTTTGTAGTTTTTGTCAAACAGATTTTGCACATCTTTTGTCAGATTTATCCCTAAATAGTTTACATCTTTTGATGCTGTGGTATTTTAAATTTCAATTTCCAATTGTTCATTGCTACTATATACAAATGCAGTCAATTATTGTATATTGATCTTAGATCCTGCAACCATGCTGAACGCATATGTCCATTCTAGTAACTTTTTAAAAAAATATTTCATAGGATTTTCTACAGAGACAATGCCATCGGTGAATAAAGATACTTACCTGAGGGGCTATGTTCTAATAAACTCCATCCTTAGACTGTGGAGGGAAATAGAGGGACAACCTAAGGTGATGATGGTCGAGGCTGGCAAGTCACCCCAGGGCAGCAGATCTGTAGATTTAATGGTTCTACGAAGGCTAGTGTTAAAATGACTGATACTCTATTAATACTGGGGGACACCCTCAGCACAGATCACTTGATTATCTACTCTCACCACGGTTATGAGCCCAGATGTTGGCTGAGTAAAGGCAAAAATATCCAGCCTTGGGTTAGAAAAATGTCCCCAAACCCCATTCACAAAGCACCACCTTCCCTCACTTTGACCTCCATGAAGCCTCCTTCCTGGTCTCTGGGCCTTCCATCTTGCCCTCTCCAATCCCATCTCCATAGAGCCAGGTTGCATCAAAATGGAAATGATACCATTCTGGCCCTGCACTTAGAATAAACGTCCCACTCCTTACCCAGGCCTAAGCAGCCCTCCTCTGAACCATTTCCTCCTCCTCACCTCCACCTATCGAGCTCGTGCCAAGCCTTCTCTCTGCAGGAAGCACTCTTTCCACGCACCCCATTTTTCTTGCCTTGCACTCACCAAATTTGTCATTTAATTTTACACTAACGCAGAACTATGAGGGCTGGGACCACTGCTATTTTGTTTACCCCAACATCTTAACATGCCTGATAAGTCGCAGGCACTGAATAAATGGTTTGAATGATTGCCGGAGCCCTCTTCAGCTACATACACACTGGTCTACTTGCCCTCCATCTTGGTGAACAACCTTACAATCTATTTCGGTTGTTTCTCTTCCCGTAGAAAGGTGGCTTAAAACTGTGGCTGTGTGTTAAAATCCCATGGGTGATTCTAAAAAATACTAATGCTTGGACCTTACCCCAGCCCATTGAAATCCAAGCCTCTGGGGGTAGGATCCAAGTATTCGCATTTCTTTTTAGAGCTCTCTTGGTGATGCTGATGTGCACCCAGAGTTGAGACCCACTGGCATAGAGGGAAAGGCTGCTTTCCTTTAGCCAGGGGATAAAGAACCATCGATGGGCTCACCCTGGAAGGGCCAGCAGGTGGGCTATATAAGAAACGGCACTTGCGACTGCCCCTAGCTCGGCCTCCTGTGAGTTGCACCTTAGTCCTGGGCTCTGTTCACTCCAGTGGAGCAGCAAGGAAGCAGGAAACCAGACCAGAGTGGAAAGCATTTTCAAACTTTATTTACAACTGTCACAGTGACAAAAAGTAGTTTGGAAAAAAAAAAAAAATGCTAGTTTCTCCCTGAGCCTCAAAAAAGAACAGATAGAAGTTACAGGAGGTTCATCTTACAACAGGCATTTTTACTGAAATACTAGGGTTTTTTTTTTCAATACGATCAGTTAGAAATACACACGGTACCTAAAAAAAAAAAGGAGGAGGCCAGACAGGAGCTCAGCCACTTATCCAAGAGTGGCTGGGTCCCCCCAGCAGGCTCACCGCTGAGGGTCCTGACTTCAGCTGTCAGCCTCTGGCCTGCTCAGACTCCAAATGGTCATACAAAGGGGTCTAGTGACCAGCAAAAATAATAAACCACCTCCATAAACACACATATACACAAAGTAGATTTGTTATGCAGTTTACAAGCACGTTCCCATCATATGGCAAGACCAGGACAGATGACAGGGAGGAGCAGATGAGAGGGAGACACGGAAACACGGGATTTTAAAAGGCAAGACCCCATCCACAAAGGGCGGCAGGCTGAGAATGCTGCTGTGGGGGAACAGAGTGAGGAGACTGCAGCCAAGACGGAAGGAAAGGGAGACGAGAGAGACCCCGCAGTACAGGCCTCTCCCTCTTCTGCAAGGAGCTGGAACAAGTTATTGCCATCAGTGTGTAACACAAGCAGACAACACAGAGGGAGGGAGCAGGGTGCTGGGGTAAGCGTCGGCTCCCCAGAACCAAATCCTGCTGGCCAGCAACAGCACACCCTCGGCTTTTGTCTTCCTGCCCCAACATTCCCCAGAGCCACACTAACCTTGAGGTATTACATACAACTCTACACGCAAATCCAAAACCGGGGTCAGCCTGGACTGACTGGACACCTGAGGGGATGCGGTGGGTGCCTCAATCGACTGAGTTTGGCCTCAGGGCTCTCGAGCCCACCTCTTAGCCACACAGTCCTGCTCTGAGATGGAGACAGTTTGAAGAGCTTGTCCTGCAACCTGCTGCTCCAGATGGTTCTTAACTACGATAAGAAGCTCTAAGTCCAAGGCTAGCTTTCTCGTGCAACTGCCCTTGCAGGGGGCAGGTGGGAGGTGGGGAGGGATGAGGACCACTGTTCAGTGCTCCCTCACTATACCGCCCTCCCACCTGCATCCGGGAACAACACGGGGAGAAGCCAGGGATCTCATGACACCCTTTAGTTTCAAACTCAATCCCTAGGCTGCTACATGAGAGCCTTGGTCACCCCCATTCAAAATTCCCAGGCTCTGCCAGCTCTCAGGACCTGCACTGAGGCTCACCTCCCCAACAAAAAGCAGGAAAAGTCTCCTCTGCTGTCCACTCAGCTCCCACCAGAAAAAAGGGCCAAGCGCCCCCAGGGGAGTGGTGGTCAGGCCGGCTGGAATCCACAGCATGCTGGGAACCACCCCTGCCTGACTGCTGTGGCCAGAGGCTGGGCAGGGCGGTGGCAGGAGAAGGGGCGAGCAGCCTGGGAGAGCCCGCCTGCTCTACGCCTCCGCTCAGACTGGGGCCAGTCTGGGGAGGAGCAGCTGGGGAGGGACCTTCATGTCCAAGCGTCCACTTCAGGCTCCAACAAGGGTGGGAAGTGCTCTCACTACTCCCAAAGGGCGGGGGGGGGGGGGGGGGCAAAAAAGATACACCAGGGGAGAGAAGCTCAAAAGCGATGGCTCCTAAAACCCTCTAGGTTACCGCAGGTCTATGAACCTGCCACAGCAGGAGCACAGGGTCGGCGGAGAAGGAACAGGGACACCTTTGTCTTTCCCTGTGCATCACCTCCAGCTGGCTTTGCAGGCAGCCAGTTTCCATGGCTCTCCTTTACCTGCCTCCCTGTAACAGACCAACACACCTGGAATAAAAGCAAAGGCAGCAGTGGGCGAAACTGGAGAGAGATGAGGACTTTGTGTTCTGATGCCCCAGCAGCCAGAAAGAATGCTCGCTGGGTACTTCCTGGCTGCACTTCTCTGCTCAAAGTCTTCTTTAAAATGTGTGTTTTCTCTTTTGTCTCATGATTGTTTTCTTACCCCAAATGTTCTTTGCTTGCTTTGTACATCCCCCATCCCCCCGCCCCCCAGAGCCCACTGGAATCCCACCACAACCTCTAGCCTGCTCGAGTTCAGATAATGATCTCATAGATCCACCCACTTCCCCACACCCCCCACCCCTGCTCGAAGCAGCTTCCTTTCTCAGAAGGCCTTGCAAATTGTCGCAGAGGGCTCCACTGCCCGACACATTTCAAAAAGAGAAAAGAAAAGAAAAGAAAACCAACTCAGTGATTTGCAGGTGCAAACGGAAGCCATCGTTGGACATTTTCAGAATTGTGGTGGCTCCCTCTCTCCTTCCATCATACTGGGAAAGAACAGTTCAGGTAGAGATGCTGTCTGGCGTGACCCCATGGGAGCTGGCGGGGACTCTACTGCTCCTTGCTTTCTTTCGCCGTCTCTTCACAGTTGTCCTGCTCATCCTCCTGGACCAAGAATTCCTCGGGGGGCCACCGGAGCTCCCCACTCTCCACCTCCCCCTCTGTGGGTTCCACCACAATGGAGGGCAGGCGGTCCTTCAGTTTGCAGCAGCGGTCGAAGTCTGACGGGTCAGGAAAGATCTGAAATAAAAGCAGAGTGAGCACCAGTCACGCACGGATCTGAGAAGAAAGATTCCGTTCCTTCATCGCACACACGCATGGAGAACTGAGCATCTGCTGTATGCCAGGGACGGTGCTCCACCCTCAGGATACTGAGGGGTGGAAGGCAGGAGCCAGGGAGTAAACCTGGGGCAACACAGGCAACCACCCCTCAGCAGACTGGGACTCAACTCCTGAAGCTGCAAGTTTTCAGGGCAGTGCCACCGAGTCTCAAAGGAGTGTAGCTCTGTTTGTATTTTTTGTTTTATTTTCAGATAAAAGACTTCAAGATCACGTCATCCACAGTAAGTCACGTCTCTATTTGCAGCAAGCATTTTACTCGAGCAGCCCAAACCAGACAACAGGTCCCATAACATTAAATCCCTCCCGGGATGATGATCAGCACCGCGTGTGAGCCAGCTACCAGGTGCTTTGCATATATAGTTTTGAACAAACACAGAAAGACAGGTATTGCTAGTGCTATCTTTAAAAAGTCTCAGGCTTGGAGAAGGAGGTTGCGCAAACCATACAGCCTGGAAATGAGTGGTGGTGGAATGAGAGTCACACCCAGGCCTGTTTGAGTCCCATGCCCACGCCCCAGCACCCCTGCCTCTCAAGCAGACGGGTCCTGACCTAGCTGCAGTTGTAAAGTCAAGGCCAAATCCTGGTGGACGGCAATCACAGGCAAGCTGGGAACAAAATCCCAGGCTCCTTTTCCACCTGTGAACACCTCCTGGCTCCTGGACGGCTCTGCACCTGGAAGAGTCTGCTTCTCTTTCCAGAGTGCCATCAATGAGGCTTCTTTTTTTAATGCCTACTGTGTGTCCTGCCCAGAGCTGGGAGAGACCCCAAACCAGGCTGTAAAACGGAGGGCTACGTCTGGCTCCGCGGATTCCCTTTGCACCCACTGCCCTGCGACTACAGCTGACCCAGTTCTTTGCCCAGCCGCTTAAGTACTTAATCCGATGGGCTGCTGGCCCCTTGCATTCACAGCCCTCGGTGACACACCCAAGAGCCGGAGAGAGGAGTCTCTGAGACACCGGGGCTCACAGAATCACAGATGTTGAGAGCCACATGGCACCTGCAAGTCCAACTCTTCAAACCTCTCCATTTAATAGACAAGGAAACCTCGGCCTAGAGGGGTCAGGAGACTTGCTCAAGATCACAGCTTGTTAATGGCAAGAGAAAGGAAAGAAAACCAGGAGCGGGTGGAGACACACACACGAAGAGATCCAGGAGATTGTCAGAGCCTGGCTCAGATCGAGACAGGCCCACGGCAGCAGACAGGCGTCCTCTGTTCTCAGGAGGTAGAAGAAATGCTCTCCTCCAGACTCAGGCCTTCCCACCTTCTGTGGTGCCCAATCTTACTGCACCCCGACCCCAAGCAGCCCTGTCCCAGTCAAGTCACTGAGCACATCACAGGCCACGTGAGGCTCCTGGGAATCATGGGCCTCGACAAGACCTCCGCAATCCCTGCAGACGAGTGATTATTAACCATTTATCCAATGAAGCCCTATTGCTGTGGATTAAGCCTTAAGCCAGCCACACAACCAGGCATCATTAAAGACTTAACAAGGCTCATAAAAAGTATGGTAATGGCAGCCAGGAGGAAAACAAGCCAGGAGAGGGGCTCGGCTAGTGGGGTGAAAGGAGACGGGGGCTAAGTTTAGCCCCACTCCGGGCTTTCTCTTCCTGATGCGGCCAACCCTGCAGTTCTGCCCTTGGACTGTGCTCTGCAGAGAGACCTGCACCTACCGAGCAGGCAGAGGGTCTGGTAGCCTATTTGGGCCCTTCCTCACTTCTCCTGTGGAGCTCAGGCCCCCTCCCTGGGGGTGAGGACACAGGTGCCTTCCAAGCTGAGCTTTGGGAGCGAGTGAGGGGAAAGCCTGCCACGGTCTACAAAGCTCTTTCAGACATCACCTAGTTCTGCTATGTTCAGTGCTGTGCCTTTTGGAAAATGAATGGATGCCTCTGGGTCAACACACCCATTTCACAGATAGAAAACTGACCAGGGAGAGTGGGCAAGACTCTGAGCTCTAACCATTCAGCTGCTGGAGGCCCCAGTTTCAGGTGCCAGGAGAACCATCTGGGCAGCCAGGTCCAAAAGATGAGCTTCCGTCTGGACAGTTGTTCTATATCTTCAGGACCCAAGATAGAGCTGTCAAATATCAGAGAAGATGGACAGCTGGCCCAGAACAGACCTGGGCCCCTGCCTTTGCCCTCTGCCCTCCAGCCCAGGGCTGCGCCTACCCTGTGACTCCCTGTCGAGAGATGTGGCAACCAGATTCTAATTATGATCACCCAAGCCAAGGAAGAGCAAAAGGGACAAGAAACAGCAAGGCCAGCAGGAGGAGGAGGAGGACAGTGACGGCGGAGAGCATGTGATTTCACTCTGGGCTGGGAATAGGTCTTTAAAATTAGGGGGAAAAATGTTAAAAGGATGACGATGATGATGGAAGATATTCCAGGCATATTTGCTGAGCAGAATCTCAATCTTCACAATAATCCTATGAAGTATGTAGTGGTGTGATCCTTATTTTATAGATGAGGAAACTGAAGCACAGAGAGGGCAAGTGACTTACTCAAGGCCACACAGCTAGGAAGTGCTTGAATGGAGACCCAGACTCAGACCTGTAAGACTTCAAATGAGGCGTTCATTTGATAACATGTTGTGTCAAGCCACAGACCCCAGACTCTCCCTATGTCCTTGACATCAATTGTATAAACCCCATACAAAAGATGATAAAACGCTTCGAGGACATATGCTAAATTCAAATTGGCATGTCCTCTTTGGAGCCATTTCAGCAGGACTAGAGTAAGTATTTAATCTCTGAGCAAGAGGCAGTGATACTAACACAGTAATTAAAATAACTCCAAACAAGGAGTTTCATACCACAAGCTGCACAATTAAGTCTTTTAAATCCTTAGGGGACGTCTGAGCATTGAACTTCCGATACCGCTTAGTTGCCAGAGAACTTTGCTCCTTGAATTGCTCAAAGCAGGCGCCATTAAAAAAAATGTCTTTTACAAAGCCTGTTAATTGCATTTTAAAAAATCACTATAATCATCTAACCCTTCCATCAGAGATTTTATTTTATTATCAGATAATGTCAATTTACGCCTCTGAAAATTGTAGCTCTCTCCAAAGACAAACAAGATGCACCCGGAACCAAACAGCTTCTCATTTCCTTATAGGCAGACAGAAAGCCTTGCAAAGTGTTGCTGAGTATTTTGCCAGCACAATCTTATCTCCAACAGCTGCTTAAGAGGCTGACCCTAAGGAGGTCAAGATTTTTCCACTAAGTCATGCTTTTTAATCATCTAGGCAGCAGAAAAATGAGAGGTTGCAACTGCAAATTGACGGGGTGGGGAAGGCAGTGGAAAAAAGGACTCAAGTCAGACTTGCCAAGCACATGACAGGTAGGGTTGAGGCGGAAGGCCAGTGCAGTATACTGTTTGTCTGCAGGAACTGGCATGGAATAAAGAACTGCCCCTGTTCCAAAAAGAAACTGCTTCTGGTTAAACCTCTTACTCCAAAGAGTCCTTTCTCTCTGGAGGGTGAGGGAAAAAAATTCCTTTTCTCTTCTCTCTGCAGCAAAGGCTCATCTCCCTGAGTCCAGAAAGGAAGATGGGGAGGCTCCGAGAAGCATTTCCCACCCTCATCCGCAGGGCAGGGCAGATCTAGAAGCATCCGTCCCCAGTGGGATTCCCTCAGCCCTGCCCCTTTCTCTCTCTGCCAACACTGGACTCTACATCCAGGGCTCATGGCTTGGATGCAACTCATAGACACCAAGACCCTCCTTTGCAAATGAAGTCTTGAAGATCCCACACACCAAGAACAGCCCAGGTCCTGCACCTCCCACTGTGTAGGCATAGCAGGTGTTCAGACTTGGTAGTGGTGAATTTTATAGGGGACACTTCTTCAGGGGCATCCTTTGCCAGGTGGCCTCCAATCCCAACAGGCCCTGACATTCTGGAAACTCAAATGAGTTCACTTGAAAGGTCAGTGGAGTTTTAGGACCTTCTAGGGGGAAGAAATGGGCTGTGAGATGTAGTTTGGATGCCAATATACTGGAATTTCTGGCTGTATAGATCAGAGCTGCCCAATAGAACTTTCTGTGATAATAGAAATGTTTTCTATCTGTGCTGTCCAACAGTAGCCGCTAGCCACAGGTGGCTATTGAGCACTTGAAATGAGGCTAACATTTTTAATTTTCTTTAATTTTTATTAATATAAATGTATATGATATATGTAAATATAATATAAATTTAAATATCTGCATGTGGCTAGTGGCTACCGCATTGGACAGTGCAAATATAAATGGTTAAATATGAGGGCAATGAAAGCAGGACTGTGCAGGAAAACTTAGGATGTTTGGGTGATGGACCAACATGGGCAGCCTCAGAGCAGAGAAGTCTGGGTTGAGGGTGAGCACCTGCAGATCAGAAATTAGTCAGCAGGCTCTTTGCTTAAGTATAAAAGTTGCCTGTCAGTCAGCTCCCATTTCACCCATGGAGAGGAACTGAAAGATAATACCAGGGCTCCAAAGGCCCGAAATTTGGGGGCCTAGCTATCAACTGGCTGCCTCTAAGCCAGGTGACCTAAACCTGGCTGCCTCTGGGGTAGGGAGAGGAGAGAGATGCCTGGCACCTGGGATGGAAAATGTGAGCGATAGTGGTTGGAGTAGCCCTGCCCTGTGTGCGTGCATCTCTCAGCCATCACCCCTGACAAACCCGAGCTGGCCACAAAGAGGGAGGAGGGCTCGGCAAAGAGCTGAGAGATGCTAATAGGGAAAGCAGACACCAGCAGGTGGAGGAGATGAAAGGTGGTTAACTGGACACAAAGGGCTAATTACCAGTTCTGCAAGCTGAGTCCTCCGGAGCTTGGACATCCTGCTCCTCTTTGCTGGAGTGGAACAGAGGAAAGAGGCATGCTGGGGTGGGGTGGGGTGGGGTGGAGAGGGGAGGTAGGGCAGAGGGCC